AGCCCGAGGTGGGCGGAGTCAGACGAAGAATCTGTAAAATAGCTCAAGAGTACTTCAGACACCGGAGAAAAGTGGAGTACAGAACAAAAGGCGGATATCAGTTGAGTCTAGAAATATGTGAAGAGAAGGTACGCGCGGCGAAGCCGCGCCCGCCCGGCGCAGCCGGGCCGTATCAGAAGGAGCCGCGCCGGCGTCAGCCGGCGAGGCGACTGGTTATTTACAACAGGAACATGATCGAATACGCTCCTATCCCCCATTCCTCCAGGAACCAAATAAGACTCCTGTTTGGGATCCCTAACGTACGAGGTACCATGATTTCAAGAGTAGTCTTCAAAATCACGCCTCAGCGTTCATGCCATTATGGGAATATGCCCAGCACTCAAAATGTACCCACCTAAGCGCGAGCGCTTATCATCCCTTTGTAAAATTTCAGCACTCCTGGTGGGAAGATATGCTTTTATGCTCTTCATTATATAAGTGTCTGAATGGTGTGTTAGCTTTTGGCACGTTAGCAGACTAAATCATTGAGAGTGTGGTTGCAGCAAGACGGAACCATCCACCACCCTCAGGGGTTCCATTAATCCTTGCCATGAGGGTCCATAAATTCTTGCATGCTGATGAGCACTAGCGAAAACAGCTTTGCACACTTCAGTCTGTGAACCCCCATGAGCATTCGATACAGAGATCAGGGTCTACTTCCATATTCATAGTTAAATAATAAGAGTTGGAAACTGTAAGAGTTATAAAAAGTAGACTCCAATATCGAAGGATTATACAACGAGGAACATGATCGAATACGCTCCTATCCCCCATTCCTCCAGGAACTATTAAATACAATTAAATTAAATTAACTATTATTATATTGATTATTAATTATGAATTAACTATTAAATAACTATTAAATTATTAACTAAACATTCCACACATTGCGGCTGTAGTGATTGTGATGCCGAAATCAACAGCTACGGTCTTGCATACAGGAGGTTACAGACATCGTGAGTGTTAAAATGGTGGTATCAGCGACAGCCATTAGTGGGGATTCGGTCGGAGCCCGTACGACCCGCCCCCCCCAATTACATAAACATTATGAATTTTTCTTCCCCCCCCCCCCGTAGAGAAGAGAGACTGTTCATAAGTTTATGTATAAGTAAGCGCGAAAAATAGAAAAAGTAACAATCCTGAACGAGGCCCCCTCGCTTTTTGCTCATTTCTATCCTGATTCAGAAAAGAGAATAGAAAAGAAAAGGCCATTAGGTTTCACCCACCTTTCCTCGAGTCAAAACAAACTCTGGTACCTGAATCAATTGCAATTTAAAGAAAAAAAAAACAGGAAATTAAGCCAACTTCTCCTAAAAGCACTCTGAGCGGTCCAAGCAAAATTGCTGGGGCGCGCTCTGACGCGTATTCGAGTAAACTGAGAAGAAGATAAATATTCGATATTCGAATAAACTGATAAGAAGATAAATATTCGATATTCGAATAAACCGAGAAGAAGATAAATACGAAAGAGTAAATACGAACGAGAGCAAACCAGCCGCAATCAGCTGATTAAAGGCCGAGGTACCCGGGGAGGGATTCTGGGCAGGACCAGCCATGTGGAACGCGAGTTTTCAGCAAAGTGGGGTGTCTTTGAAGGACCATAACTTCCTCAAAAGCGGACCTGTGGGAAGAGAGACCGTATTCGTGTAGAGGAAGTGGTTTGGACTTCTCTAAAAAAGTACTAAAACGTTTATGAAGGTCGCAAAAATCACAGAGAAATCTGCCATGGGGATTCGTTGGGGAGTGATTTTCAACTGAACAGGTTTGAATCAATATATTTTTGTAACTCAACATTTCACAAATCTGAGAACGGTTTCGAGTGTTTGAAGATTTTCTCTTTCTAAAACCTTGAACTGTTTCTGAAGTTCTCGGGATTCATGAGATCTCGCGATGGGGATTTCTTGGGGAACACTCCCAGCTGCGCGAAAAACCCGTTTCCTGTGTACCGTTTCAAGTGAGCGTGTTCGAATAACCAGGAACGCATGAAAAACGTATCCTGTGGTGGAGCAGGAGCAGGATGTGGTTTGTTTAGCGCCAAATCATGCTAACTTGGGTGCGCCGCGACTAGGTCGGCGCAGAGTGGAATGGAGGTGCAATTTGAGACGTAATGTCTGTTCAACGCAGAAGCAAATGTGTGTCTATAGGATTTTAGCGAGTCCATGGCGATCCTGTGCACTTGTTACAGTGTGTTCCTTGCGCTATGAGTGGAATATGTCCTGTGTCGACGCCGCCAGATTCGGCTCCGCCAATTGCTGATTCCGATGAAGGAGACCAACTGCTGGAAAACGTCTGATACGAACGATATGGTAGTCCTGTCGTTTGTCGAAAAAACAGGTTGGCTCAGCGCCAAGCGCGATCGCGGACACGCCCCATCATCCGCAGCGAACCAGAGTATGAGTTGTACTGTTTAGTCACTTACGAGATGATGTCGACTTTTTATATTTCCAGTTATTTCAGATTAGTTTGATGAATGAAAGTTTTGTACTATTTTTTTACATATCCGAGTTCTCTACAAAGCAAGCTTCGCTGTACAGTACTCAGCACACTGACGCTCGTTACTGGCTACCGCACTCATTACGACCCCTCCCCCTGGCGGCCAAATACGACCCCCTTTGTTGGGGATTCCCCAAACAACGATGTGCCCTGGGTAGTATCGGTACGACCCCCTCCCCTCTCTTCCCTATCACCTACCTACCAATCCCTCACATTTTCCAGCTTTTCACCCAAAGATTCTCTCTCGAGCGGGGAGGATTGAGTAGTACAACAACAGTACGTATCGAAACAGGAAAAACCACGCAGAAAGTCAACACCGGGAAAATATTTTTCTCAACGCGGCTAAATTCTCTCGAACCCTCATGCGACCCCCCCCCTCTCCCAACGGCGACCAAATACGACCCCTCCCTCCCTGGCGAAAAAGTACGACTCCCTTGTGTGTTCACACAAAATGCTGTACCCTGTTTGCAGAACGTTCGGCAACATCCACAACCCCACGATCGCCGTTATTTTGAAAATGAAGTCAGTCATAGCACTCATGAAATTTTTCAGTGGGGTTGCGAATGCTTTCCTAGAGCTTCCACAGAGATACAGTTCTGTTCACTAGGAATGCTAGGGCATGTCAGAGGTTGTGTTCGGCGTCACGCCAGCCCGTCTTCCATCAATTGTTATTGGCTCCCCCGTTCAACAGTGGGCGGAAAGTGAACTAGCGTCGGGCCAAACTCAGCCCCTGACACACGCCCGGGTATATTCTGTCCACTGTTACAAAGGCATCCTACAATCCACATCTACTAACAATACTGTGTACCTGTAGCTGTTTGAACTGACCACTTTGTTGCTTGTACATTACGACTATACAGAGAACTGTATAGGCTGAGAGGACTTGGTTTAAACTACAATTTTGAAACCGATCAACGCCACCTGCACTAATCTTTCGCCATGAGACAAGTAAAATTATGCGTTACAGGTTCTGTACCAGTCTACTGCTCTACATCGTTGCCACTGCACCTCCCATATGGCTGCTTGAAACAAAATTATGTCAGTGGCGAAGAGAATACGAGTTGCTTGGCGAAAGTACAATCGAAATCAGTAAGTTTGGTACATCGTCGTTCACATCAAAAGCGGTCAATCACATGAAAATGAGTGCACCAGTCGCTAAGCGGCCATCGGCTTGACGTACAGCACATAACCCAGCTGTAGGCTGCGTTTATACTTTGCGGCAGCGTAGCGTAGCGTAGCGCTTCCAGCGTACGCCAGCGGCAGTGCCGAAGAGAGGATGCATATCGATCTAGCTTCACCAGCGTCACCAGCGGCACGCTAGCGGCACGCTAGCGTACGCCAGCGTTTCTCCAGCGTTCTCCAGCGTTTCACCAGCGTTTTGCTAGCGTTTGCAGCGGCAGGGGAGTAGAGACTATGGGAGAGCTGGAGGGTACAAAACACATCGATTGCGCGTCTCTCACTCGCCCTTAGTCTCTACAATGCACATCGCTTCTGCGTCTCCGACGGCCACATAGTCTCTACAATGCACATCGCTTCTGCGTCTCCGACGGCCACATAGTCTCTACAATGCACATCGCTTCTGCGTCTCCGACGGCCACATAGTCTCTACAATGCACATCGCTTCTGCGTCTCCGACGGCCACATGGTCTCTACAATACACAGTCCGCGATTCCGCGTCTCTCACGGCCACATAGTCTCTAGTCCCTGCCGCTGCAAGCGCTAGCAAAACGCTGGTGCCGCTGGAGAAACGCTCGAGAAACGCTGGTGAAGCTAGATCGATAGCTATGCTTCCCGTGCCCTCGCTACGCCAGCGTGCGCTAGCGTGCCGTGACGCTGGTGAAGCTAGATCGATATGCATCCTCTCTTCGGCACTGCCGCTGGCGTACGCTGGAAGCGCTACGCTACGCTGCCGCAAAGTATAAACGCAGCCTACCTGTTCCAACACCCAGACATTTTCCATGGCACAATATTGCGAGGCCACTACAGTTTTTTCGCTGCCGATCGTGATGGGGCGTGTCAGTATGGCTGGGTTTGCCGCGCCGCTAGCTCGTTCTCCACCACTTGTTGAAACGCATAAGCAACAGCAATTGTTGAAAAACGACTGCTACGAACTATATGAAGTCTTGTCGCTTGCTCGCTTCAACAACTGGTGGGAATGAGTTTGGGGCCAGACACTCTTGACGCCATCTAGCATGTTTACTACCGAATACTGTAGGAGCGTTACTTTCCCTAACATATGCCTTCTGATTACTTTTCTTTTAGACGGTCCAGAAAAGGAGCTACAGTTGCAACTACTTGAACAACTTCTCCTTGTCGTGCTCATTATTGGCCGTTGGCTTTCTGCCAAAAGGAGACATCAGTCGTGAACAGCTGTCTCAGATCCTACTTGCCTATCTTGTTAGTTTTCTCATCATTTACGCTCAATGGTTATGATACGCGACGATGGCCTCATTTTTCCAGGCAATTTCATCAGACATTGTCGAATTTTCGTATGTTTTCAAAGAGAAGCTGTGTATAACAACAGCAATGTCCAACAGATCGTGCTTGCTGCTTGGACGGTAAACATTCTCCTTTTCCCTTGCACTTTCGAAAAATTGGCTCTATTTACCCTTTACCGCCCCAGTCATTTGGAATCGAACCAATTTTAAACTTTTTTCTCCGTGGCCAGAATTGGCTCAATGTTGTCTGCTAAGATAGTTTGACTTCCTGAATACGAATATCACATTTGCTTGGCCCGAAACCTCTTGGCGCCCGCGACACAGGCGTTGGTGACTTAAGGTATTTTGACGCTGGCGTCTGTGGCGCGGAGCGCCAGGAGTTTCGTAAAGCACTGATGTGATATTCATTTCAGAGTCAAAACCTGCCCTTGAGAAACAATTTTCTAGCCAATTCAGCGGAGGAAAAGTGGGTCAGGGACTGGGCAGGATTTCGGATGATTGGGGCAGTAAAGAGTAATTGGAGCCAAAAAATCACTATTTATTTTACGATGTTTCACTTCAGCCACATTCCTTGAAAGAGCAGTCGGTACCGACGACGGGAGGCTTTTGCACTTTTTCTATTTTCCATCGACGTGTCGACCCATATAGAGAGCCTTTAGTTGACAAGCTATACCATGAGGACTCGACCAGGCTGCTCCAGCTTCACAAGAGTTCACTGTCTTCACCAGAATGGGACTTGTGAACCGGAATTAGTGAAGCAGAGGAAGTGCAAAATGCCCCCCGTCGCCGAATTGAGCCCCATAACTACCTTATTTGTGGAGCTTCCTTGGCTCCTTTCATCCATGAATTCCGGTCACAATTATAGTTTCTTTCATTTGACGCGGCTCCTCAGTGAGTGAGGAAGATTCTGCGGTCGTTGTGTTCCGATGGTGCGCCACCACAGGTCCTCAGCCACCTTAGGACCGACATTTACCAGCGGCCCTGTATCGTATGAAGGCATGTGTGATGCAGTTTGTTCATTTCATGTAGGATCGAGCTTTGCAACCCTTCCAGCATCTGGTCTCTCGCGCTCATCAGCACCATAACTCATACTCCTCGCTTCTCGAAATACTAACCAAACTGCCTTATTTAAAGCGTCTTCCGCAGGCTCTACGAATGTAATCAAGGCAGTGCTTCTAGGTGGATAGTAGAGACCTTATTAATTAGGCTGATCCACTGGGCACCGTCCAACTCCCCACTCGTTCGTTCTTCTCCCGTTTAGGCTCACATAGTGATGGAGAGCATACTCTACCAGAGTCTTGTAATCGATATGTGCCTTACTCGGATGATAGCGGTGCACAATCACTGAGGATCTCCTGTAGATGGAAGAGAGAGAGGGATCAGATGCTAGCACAATTCCTCAAGAAAAACGTCCCCATAGGGATGATGTGCCCTGAGGAGTAGGCCAAAGTTGAGTGTGAACACTACCCACTGTCGAAGATAGACGTCTGCCCAGAGGGAGACATGTACAGCATCCACACCGGACAATCCCATTCGACGAAGCAGTGCACCTGAGTGTCAATCTCTCTCCTCTCTCTCATTCTCTCTCTTCTCTCTCTCTCTCTCTCTTGCCGCTACAAACCGTATGCGAGATGCCGATAACGTTCTACTTCCGCCCAACTCGGACTCTGTGAAACGGTTCCTACTTGTTCGGATTTTCTATTCACACAATCAATTCCGCTAATAGCTAGGCGAAACGTAACAATGTTGTTCCGTGTTCAGATGAAACGGTTCCTGCTTGTTCGGATTTTTATCACACAATTCGCTAATACTAGCGAAACGTACAGTGTTGTTTCGTGTTGTCGGTCGGGAATGGGTCCCGCGCAGTGCCAAGCCGTTTTCCACCAGAAGTTAAAGCGAGCAAGCGACAGTACTGTATCATATCCTTTGTAGCAGTTGTTTTCCCCGCACTGTTGTCGCTTATATCCTTCAACAAGTGGTGTTGAACTTGTTTGGCGGCGCGCCATACCCATCCCAGATACGCCCTAATCCGCAGCGAACAAGTCTGTAAGCACCGGACAAATCCTTCGAAGTGGAAAAAGCTATCAAGTTTGAAGAACTGGAATGATTAGGTTTTCAGTATTTCTTTTCAGCTCAGTCTCCTTCAATTCCCGTTCGTGCTTACTGTCAGCCGAGCAAGAAAGATGAGGGTTGCTATCACGAAGACATATGAGGAGCTTATTATGCCTCACACTAGACCGCCAAATTTTTGGGAGGTTAGATTTGTACTATATTAACAGCATACTTCTAGCAGTTCAGGTGCAGACAGATACCATTTTCAGATATTCTATGACGTTGACATTTGGGCTATTATACTAGCCAACTCTCTCCAGGATATTCCCTTTCTACTAGTAAGCACATTGACTTGATTTTTGAGTAAAGTTGTAATACTGATAGGTGTACCCACACTTCAGGTCCGTTTATATTTGATGTTACAACACAGCCTCGTCACCTACACAATGATCTTCTTCACTTGCAAAAATGCACTTATTATTGCACTTCAGACGTACAGGTAAGGCAAGTGCCGGTGACAAGATGTGGATAAGGACATATCACCTGCGCTCCCATTGGTCCTTAGTTGTTCGAGCGGGCCTAATAACGTCTTCATTCGTCTCTGCAACACGCTAGAATTGCCCAATGATTTCTGCGCTGGAAGGAGACGGTCTGCCATTCGTTAACAGCTTTCACGAAAAAGCCTGACCATCGCGTAGGTGATAGTGCAGGTGATCGCTCTGGCCCAGCGATCGTCCTCGAAACCTTGGCAAATGCGGCGGCGTCTCTGATCTTCGATCGTCGGCGGAGTGCGGAGCTCCGGATTCCCTCTCTCACTTGCGTGTAGCGGGAAACTCCGAGCATCGTTTTCGATGGCGCGCTGAATGACGCTGACCGTATCTGCTTCCGAAAGGTCCAAATCTCCGGTGAATGGACGTGTGAATATGAAAATGGGTACCATCCATATCTCTTAAAGGTGAGCTTAGACCGCTATTCACCGCTACATTCACAGAAAGTTCGTGCCCGTAGGCAGAAGCAGTAGAACCCGTGTGAAGGCTAAATATTAAACACT